AATTTAGCAATAATCGGGTAGCTGAGCTTTGATACAAGTACTCCGGCTGAAGTAGCTTGTGGATTAGGCTGACAAAATCTCTTTTCAAGATCACTTTTAGAGCCCCATTAGGACTGGAAGCTAAACTCGCATTGTATGCAATGATCGGACCTAGTGGGTTCCACTGAACAGTTTTCGGAGTCGAAAATTGAAACCAGATTCTGCCCTGCACGTTCAAAAGACCCCGTTAAGCAGATTTGTTCATTTAAAACTCGCACAACAGAATGCCATTCTAAAGAAACTCTCTCCCTCCCTCCCCATTTCGTTTCAAAATATCTCAGAGCACACGTCTCCCAGAATTAATTCCCCCTCCTCTCCAGAGCAGATCATGAAAGTTAACGGGACTTATGGAGACAAATGGTTTTGTGGAGCGTAGCCCAAGCTGATTTGAAATGGAAAGCGAGCCTGTATCTCAGGGTCACCAGGAAAGGTGTGTGTGTGAGAGAGACATTTCAGTTTCCTGTACATGGTATATAGAGAAACCGCACTATCGTTTAGAAATATTTAACGGAACTGTTTTTGACTTAAATACTTGCTCACTGCACTGAGGAAGATGGAGATGAGGTGTGAGAAAACCCATCTCCAACATCTCCAGAATGGAGATTTCCATGAACATCTCCAACAACTCCCAAATAATCATTGCTTGTGCGAGAGAATTGTATACTGTATAAAATACGGGCTTTGTATGTAAGTGTATTGTGTATGTTTAACTGTCAGCTGCTCTTAGTGGGGAGTCGAAGATTGCGGATCGCCTGGCAAAAAAGAAAAACCCTAATAATTTCAAAACATTCAATGGAGCGGCGGTGACGTCACGGGGGTATTAGCATATGAGGAGGGGATAAAGTCAGTGTGGCTGAGGGTGATAAGGCCCCTCCTGAGGAATTCACCGCTTGTTTTAATACATTAATTATTTCGCCGCTGCCCGCAAGTTTTTGCCATTTGTAAGAGCTTAAGCCTTCTCGTGGAGAAGGGACTGGGCGGGTTAAGGGTGCAAAGAATCCCTTTGCAGAATGTCTTCTAGGTCGGCGAGCGGGAGGAATTGCTCAGGGGGAGCAATCACGCCCGTCCCCTCCTCTCAAAAAAGAAGTGCTATTTTGGAGAAGGAAAGCCATGGGTTGCTATATTGCTCCTTTTGAAATACGGATGGGGTACTGAGTAGCAATCCGTACTATTTCCGTACATACAGGCTATCTGCGACACATCCTACAGCCGGGGAGATGTCCTGAGCTAGGGAAGTGGGGAGGATAACCCTGCCTCACTGGGAGAGGTCTTTCCCCAGCTCTGGAGCGGAGCCCTTGCAGGATCGCAGCCCGAAGATGCTTAAATGGGATGCAGCACAGGATAGGTGATGTATTGCGCTGATGTCAAGATGTTCCCTGGCGACAGGGGAAATCTCAGCACCTCCGTCCTCTTCCCCAGTCCCATCGGAAGGAAGCTGGCTCTGCCGCTCGGTCACTTCTCCTCATGTGTTGTTATATAAAACTTATTTTTCACACACACACGTATGTGTATATATATATATCTCGCCCTGTTCTTCCACTCTCAAAGGAACGCCCATTAATTTTAGACAAATTTATTTGGAGTAAGTCCTATTCCGGTCAGTGGGATTTACCTCTGGGTAAGCACGCTCAGGATTGAGATGCCCCGTCTGATCAGGTGCTGTTGGGAATAATAAGGGTGGGGGCAACTGGAGAGAGGATCTTCATGGGCTGATCCATTGCCCCAGTTAAGCTGCAGGTCTCTTGGAATTCGGAGATCTCGCCTAAGCACATTTCAGGAGCAGTCGCAACGCTTCCCAAGGAACCTCCATCGCATAACAGCTCAGCTTAACTGGGCGACGGATCCTGGCTGAAGAGCTGGCAAGGAAACGAAAGACCCAAGAGACGATAATGCAGAGCCAAACTCTGCCCCGCTTTAGGAAGGGGCATCTCAAGGGGGAGGGGGGAGATAGGCCCTTCTCTGTCCGCCAGGGATTCCCTCAAATCATGTTCCGACAGCAGAAGGATTAGAACACAGCGATATAATTTTGTACTGAGGACATGAGAATGGCAGGTTCGCAGGGCCCTCTTAGCAGCAGCCCCGGGGTGTTCTCCGTAAACTCAAGGCTTTGCTCAGTCGGCAGCCTGCAGCGGTGATAGCCTCTGTCCTGAACTGGACTCGAACCCGCCTTGGCTGGTGACATCCGCGACAAGCGTCCCAAAAAATCCTTCCTAGTTTCATTACGCTCACATCAACACTTCTAAAAGAAGACCTGCGAAGACATGTGCTACAAAGGGGAACGAAAAAGCGCCCAGGAAACCGCGCGAACCTGCAGGCTAGGAAACTATGGCGTGCATTCCTGCTTTTGCCACTCTAGGCGTGTAATGTTACTAAGGTCAATGGGACTTCTCCAGTGCGAAATGTTTTCTATTTGCCAAAGAGTTGTGACGTTGGTGCGTCTGTTCAGCGCACATACCGAACCCAGGAGATATCGTATAGGCCTCACTAAAAACAACAGAAAGACTCTGATGGGTCTGGATTGCAACCTGGATCCACAACCCAACGACTTAACTGAAGCTCTAGGGTTTGAGCTGATGGGCTGTCCCTTCCTGAAAACATACAATACTGCCCCAACCCTCCTGATCGCAGTCACATGCAAGTTTATTCAGAAGCAAGTCCCATTGAAATCAATGATATTTTGTCACAGGCCTGGTTTGGAGCATAGCCCTAAAAGTGTTTAGGACTGTGTCGACAATCCTTCTTTACACAAGTGGTTTACAACTGGGACACGTGCAATTATTTCTGTCTGTGATGATATATATATATATATATATATACACATACAGACAGATACCTAAACCTAGATGTTGCGTTATTATCATAGCTGTACTATGTAAGTGTAAGTACAGATGTAGGGAGAGGAAAGAATCTAAATCCATTCCAAGTAATGGGATGTGTGGATCGTATCAGCAGACAGGCCATCTTCACATCCCATTTGACGCCAGTGACAAAATTCCTACTAATTTAAATGGGTCTGCAGTGCATTCACAAACAGCTTATAAGTATACGATAAACACAACACTGAAATACACAGGAGACAGGCAGGTGTTCACAAGCCAGTGCAACACAACTATTCTTTTTTGGCCCGGTTACAAGAGCAGTTTCTAAATTTGAAACATGCCACCCCACTCCAAATCTCAAGAACGCGCAAACTCAGCCCTTTCCCTACAAACGACCATCGCAGACATTTGAAATGTACTTCCCTCTTACGTACCTAAAAGCCGATAACTAAGGTCCTGTTCGCAGGTGAGGTGTTTTGCCTACAAACTATAACAGAAATGTGAAAGCCACAAATTCTGAAGAGTGGCGCAAATATAGGGCTCTGGAAACTAATTGTTTCAAGTAATCTATATTTTTAACAAGGGAAAATAAGTGAGAATTATCGGGGAAAGAGGCTAGTTGGAGAGGCTTTTCATCGTTTAACCCGTCACCTTTTCAAATAAAGTAACGCAAACTAAGGGATGTAACAGCGAAAACTTAATAGCTGAACACGGAATACATTAGAGATCGGGATAGCAGGTTCTGCAGCATGAGTTAACTAGCGGCTAGGCATTCCCATAATCTCTATTGCTTCTCACAAACACTGAAGTTATTATTCAAAGATACTTCTCATTTGAGTACTTTAACTAAATCTCTCATTCATTCATTCATTCATTCATTTTAAAAAGGGTTTTAACCCAGGTGTGGAAACTGTAAATTTCTCTCTACAGTTTTCTTCCCCACAAAGACTTGATACAGTCGATGCGGCATGCCCATATGATAAATGCCAGTAGTACAGTTTCGGGGTTGAAATTATAAATATATATAATATGTAATACACACACACACTTCTACCGCACGCCAGTTTCACCACAATGTATAGTTTACCTGCATGTAAAACAATTAACCGCGTCAGCTTGTCACCTTCAGAACACCAGGGACACAAGTGAAATGTACGAGAGGGAAATTGACCGGGGTTGTTCCTCAGCTGCCAAGGTGACAACTTGAATTACATTCCTAATGGAAAGGGGCTACTTTCCCCTCGATGCTAATTTGACCTTCAGAGAATACACGCTCTCTAGCATTTACTTAAGGGGAAAAAACGAGGAAAGCAACATCAAAACGATATGTAAAGAAGAAGACAACGTAAGATCGCACCTGGTCTTTTAACCCTTTGCAAATGGAACTAGTTTCCCCAGAAGTTTAAAAAACGAGCATCACGTTGTCTACGGCTGAGTTTGTGGGAAATGGGGCGAGGGGAGTTAGTTTATATGTGTGGGTATAAAACTAATATTACTAACTTGCTGGCACAATCAAACTTCAATCTCGGAACTAATAGCTTAAAACTACCAGCAACTGAAAAGTAAACCCAAAACGCACAAAGGATCTGCTTAATTTTTTTCGTCCAGTGGGCTAAAATGAGGACCCCATCACTATGCACTTAAACGTTATTCCTTGTCTCCCTGAGGCGTTTGATCAGTTCTTTTCCCATGTGAGGAAACTGGCAGCTCCAAGGCCGTCAGTGGAACTCCCATAACAAAAGTCCTGAAAAGCTGAATGAATTGGGCATATAATTACTGCTCTCTCTCTCTCTCTCTCACACACACACACACCCTCCTATCCTTTGCAGCTTATCTCTTTCTTATTCATGCAACATATATTGTCACCTAATCTCACCCTCAATATTGCGCTCCCTCGCTTTTTTTTTTTGTAAGCAGCTACCACCACAACAACTACTATGACAAATTCCTTCCCGGCAGAAATTAACCAAAACTTCCTATCTGTCGCAAAGCAAAGAGCCAAAGGTGAAAAACTGTGAAAAATGGAAGGGGTTAGTTATTTAAAGGTGGTTTGCTAATTACTCTTCCCCAGAGTTTAGGGAGTCATTGCAATCTGCGTCTTCCCCACAAGGAAGGATGCTTTGACTAAGTTTTGTTTTGTTTACTTACATCTCGGGAACTATAAGGTTTGGTCTTTGCTCTTAACGTATTTACTTAGCCGGAAGTCCAACTGCCTTAAACAGAATTGACTTACTAGTAGGGCCGCAATCATGGCTCCATTTTCTTGGGAGTAAGTGTAACTGAATTCAGCAGGACTCCTCAGTAAATCTACATAGGATTGGGCTGTGTGTTGAGGACCTCAGCTCTGATTATTTTAGTACTTGAAGACAATATCAAAACTTGATTCCATGCATGTGAGTCAAACTGAATTCAATAGGAGTAACGCCACAAACCTAATCACTACTGATTAATCAAGAATGAATTAAAATACATCCAATCTTTCTGTCATAGTATATTATGTGTGTACATATCACACAAGTATACTCCAAAGTGCAATACAGATACCTTAAACTGAGACTCACTTCATAATGTCTTTTATGGGATACTTTATGCACACTGGAATCGTCCTCAACACAAAACCAGTCCTTATTTCCTTGAATGGAACTTTTTTTCTGGGTACTTTGAATATCCACCTACCTAATGCAGATACCCAATAAAAATGCTCTCTATACAATTGCCAGTTCTGGCTTTTATGCCCAGAATAGCTGTAGGATTTATAAAGATATATCTGTATTTTCACATCTGTATTTAAAATAAGCAAATGCCTGCGATGAGCTACCGCAGCCTATCCCACAGACCTAAAAAATCAAACCACCTCCCGGCTCTATGCTCCATTGCACGGCCCTTGTGGGAAGAGAGAAGCCCGAAGTACCTTAAAAGCCGAAATCTGTTTGCCGTCCAGATTCAGGCAGTCATTCCCCAACCCCCCTTGAGTCTTGGAGGCCAGCCTTGCTTGCTTCTGGGTTTGTGCTCAGAGCTGGATGGAGAAGCTTGGGAGGGGGTGGGGTGGAGAGAGATCCTCCAGAGATTGCTCTACCGCAAGAATTTGTCGCTTGGAGGAATAAGTACAGCTATTACAACCAAATCTACTAGCAGTCTAAATAATTAATTGAACCATTGCTCTTTGACCCTTGCAAAGTCCAATAGGGACCCGTTTGTAGTAATAATACCCCCCAAACGAGCCCTTGTCAAATATTCATTTAGTGGTTAATTCGAGCCATTTCCCCTTGGGACAGCCTGTAATACCAGCCTCTCCGGCTTGCCAAGAAACCCTGTTAATCTACCTCTCCAGGTCAGCAAAATATTTTAACACCCCGTCCTTAAAATGCTACCAATAATAATAATAATAATCCTCCCCCCCCAAAAAAAAAAATCACAGGGGATCTCCTAATCTTTATCCATGGTCTGTCTATTTGCTGGGGCTAAGCTTAAGGAAATGTGACACTCCATCTCTGCCACCCGACATCCAAGCAACGTGCCTATTTTTGAAAGGAGAAGAAATATAGGTGGAGAGACCAGCCCTTAAAAAGGACCATGAGACCCACTTAAACGGGATCTGGGGTAAATACATTTCTACACACTGAAGGAGCAAAACAGGGGCGTTAAACAACTGTTATTCCTATATTTCAGAGATAGGAGGGAAATCGAAAATGCTGCCTCCTATTTGTTAAAGCGGCTGAATAAGGGGGGGGGGAGCCCTTTCTAGATTTGCATGAATAACGTTTCTGCTCAGTTCATTTAACTGTGCCTATCTCACCGCCTCAATCACGGCAAGAGAGCGGATTTCAAATGCGTTTTCTTAATCGCGCATACAAAAGCTCATTATAATTTTCATAATAATAATAAGTTTTGGTCACCTCACAGTTTGGAATGGAGGGGGAAAGTGGCAGAATTCATTAAGCAAATTTTGTTTAAAAGCAAATGATTATCTGCGGCCCTGGATGTATTTGCAAGCGTTCACGTAACAATCCCGCCACGTCGCTCAGTTTCTTTGACGACGGATTCAGACCAAGCTCTCCCTTCCAGGTAATCAACTAAAATTAACAACAACAATAACAGTGTCGAAATCGGTAGTACGGGATGAGAGAATTATCGTGAAAAGTGTACATTCAACCATTTCAAATGTGAGGGAAAGGGGAGGAAAGCTTTTTACCACGGCACGTGAAGAATCCCTCCTGGTCGCGTTTACCATCGCAAGCAAATCCTTCCAGACCGTTTTACATTCATAAACGTGGGGAGGAAATCGGGGCGAAGGACTTAGAATTCCAAATACTAATTTAACCCTTCTGTCCTATTCCTTTCTGGAAAGCGAGCAGATCGCTCCTGAGCGCCCAGTAGCCCAAAGGGGGCTGAAATCCTGCGTGTGGGACTCTTTGTAGAGCGGCCTTCTAGAAAGCAAGGCCTGCAATCAAACCCACCGATTGTAGTTTGCAAATTGTGGAGTCACACAAAGGGCTGGTGGAGAGGGTTTCAAGAATTCAATGAAATGCCCCGGACTTTTGTAATTAAACACCTTGCTCCTAAGAACCCGCATTTAAGCACTTTTACGGGGAAGAACCTCACTCACATCAATGGCACTTGATTCCGAGTGAACGGGTCCCTAAGAACACATTGCAAGGATGTACAGTCGTGGGACTGACTTTCCAGCAAGCTGTGTCCTAATTCTTGCCTTGGAGCCCGATTTGGAACAGATTTACTGGAAATTCCCTCCCAGTAAGTATGTTTAGGGTCTGTTAGGAAGCCGTCCAAGCACACGGTGCCACTTTCCCAAACAAATGGATTTCAGCTGAGATGCCAGTAAGCGGCCTAAGCTAGCAGCTAAGGAAGAATCTCTAAAATAAATGAATAAATTGAAACAGCTAACAATTGCCATTCACTGAGAAATAATAGTTTGCTGAGGAATAATTAAACACTTGCTTCTTCAGCTTTTAAAAAAAAAAAAATGTACGATTTCCCCCAAAACGTTCTACTCTGAAATGGCTTTCAGAAATCCTAAACAACAGTATTCATTTTTGGTTCGGGCGGTGAAATGTATACTTTCCGAAATTTGCTGTATGTAGGAGGGAAATGGCTCTATAGTGCCTGAGGGATTTCCAGAGAGAAATCTAGTCTGCGCCAATGTCTTAAGCTTCTGTGGCGAGGGCACTACCGTACAGGCCCGGATTTATTCCATTTTCACCCCAGATTTGGCATTAGTTTTTCCATTGATTCCCACAGAGCATACTTCTCTATAAGCCTGTTTAAAATGCAAACCACGATTCACAAAACTCTCACTTTCACGATCCTCAGGCATTTGTCTGCAAGAATCGCAGCCCAGTCCTAAATACCTATACTTGAAAATAAGTCCTATTGATTTTCATCGGGCTTTACTTCCGCATAAGTATTTTAGGGTTGCAAATAAAGTCCCATTGATTTCAGTAGAATTTGCCCAACAAACAGGTGCATTACAAACGGAGAGAGGTGGGAAAGCAGATATCTTTACAAGCTAAGACTCGACATACTTTTCCTTACTTTTAAAAAAGTATATTTAAGGGTACAATGAAAATAACAGTATAAAGTTAAACAAGATATACCTCTCTGCCAGACGAAGTTGTCTTCTTTAATGTGCGTTTTGGAGGGGCGGGAGAGGGCTTGAGTTTCGCAGCTTTTTCCTGAAACTGGCTGCTTCACCTCGCTGGTGAATTATGAACTAGGAAGAGAGAGCTTTTGTGAAAGCCTATGGCATTACAAAATTGAATAGATTATTATTCTCAGTATTGATGGCTTACATTTAAATCCACCCCACCCCACCCCCTCGCCCTGGCTTTCTCTTTCCCCACCTCCTCAGAGACCCCAAACTCCCTCGTCTGCAATGAAAAAAACAAACCAGGGAAAGTTTGGAAAGGCGCAGAGAGCTGCCCGTTTTTGCGTTGTTGTGGTGCAATTGTCTTGAAACCGCGACTTTGCAATTTCCCCAAAACACACACGGAGGACTGTAGAAAGCACACACCAGCACACACGCATACCCCAGCCAGCCAAGCCTCACTTCAAGTCCATTTTCTCCCAAAGCACAGCGCTTCAAGCGGAGATCGCCCTGCTTACGAGAGAAGTTAAGAGAGCCACGCACCTCGCTCGCTTCCTACTTCTGCTGGTTCTCCTCGCGTTAACAGTCCAGCCTCATCTGAACTCCGGGGGCTTTGGTCAGCTTTCAGGTGGCAACAAGTGGTCGTTTCTTCCAGCAGCGAAAATCACCCAACCGACTTTCTATGCCATGTTACTTTTCTCATTTATTATAGCAGAAGAAAAGTGTCACTTACAGTCGGCTGCGTTTTCCATTGTCGAAGGATTACTCATTTCATATAGTTATCTGGGCCACATCCAATTTCAGGCCTCGCATTATTTTAAGTAGAAACTAATTGGCATTGAAATTACCTTCTGAAAACAAAGCAGGAAAAGATTTCCTCATTCCTAGAGTTTTATTCTACAATATTATTTATCACACCAGTTTATAACTGGTCCTTGAGCAGCACGGAATTAAAAAAATAACATAAAATTCATCCTGCTTTCTGAAAATAAATCGAAGACTCAAGTGTTATTTCAGTGTCCATATTTCAAAAATTTATTTATCTCAAACTGTGCATAATGGAGTAAAAACTTAACTCAAATATGTACCTGTTTATAAGGATGGTATTAGTTCAAATATATATATGTCTGTGTATATATACATATCCATGTATATGTACATATACATGTGTATATATAGATGTATATATGTATATGTGTGTGTCTATATATATAATATACATATATGCACACCCACATACACATGGACTGCCGGCGGACTGATTTCAGATAATACACAGCCGAGTACAACTACGGGAAATGAGGAGGGACAAAAATTAAAAGAACTTAAAATAGCGTCACAATAAATTTACAGAAATATTACAAACCATAAGAAAATATTTCAAACACAAGAATTTCAGATTGTTTTGCTGTCGTTTTAGCTGAACAGGAGAAAGTTTGAAAACAAAAAAAGCTATTTAAATTAACAAATGTGTGTGAACCTGCAAGACAATTTTTGCTTTTTAAACAACGTGTAAAAAATGTAGTACACCCTAAACTTTTGCCCTTTTATATAAAAAAAACAGTTCCAGTTCAATGGTATGCAAGTACTTATTCTATTTATTTTTTTGCCTTTTGTACAATTGCTAAAACAATTAAAACGTCCAGATTTTTGTTTTAAAATAAAATTCAGCTTCCTTTTTTGTGCAGCTGCTATAAATCCATCTATCCAATTATCAGAGCGTCTTAAGTAGACTCTGATGTATTTTAAAAATAATTGGCAAATTCTCAAGGTTTCCCCCCTCCTCTTTTTAATATAAACAATGGGCTTTTCGATTGCCATGTTTATTTTGATAAATACTGTACAAAAGTTGCTTGCAAATATTAAAACATTTCCCACCCCATTTCCCAGTCTCCTTCCCTTCCCCCCTCCCACCTTCCTACGTCGCTTTCTGGAGTCTAGTTCTAAAGATTATGGGTCAAGACTTTTTTTATTTTTTACTTTAAAAAACCTTTTCTGCAAAGTACCATTTCCATAGGAACTTCGAGGGTGGGGGTGGGAGGGATGGGGGAGAACAGGTTTGGTGGAGTCGCATCCCTTTCCAAAGGAGAGGGAGGGAGAAAACAAAAATAAAAAGATCTATACAAGTTCCTTGATGGGTTTGGAATTTTTTTCTTTTTTCTTTTGTATCTGATTGGTTTCTCCCTACCCAGTTATTCTCTGTACAAAAATAGTGTCCCCCCCAGAAAAAGAGGACAGGAAGGGGAGAAAGGGGGGGAAAGTCAGAAGTTCAGAATTTCTAATAAAAGTTTGTTGCTCGGTCTAGATTTCTCGCCCTCGCCTTCCTCGCGTCTCGCCCACCCCCCGTGGGTCTTACATATGGGAGAGCGGGAGCGTGCCGTTTATGGCCGTGCCGGGCACAGGTGCGTTCTGGTAATGCTGCGACATGTGCAGTCTGCTGGGGGCGGCCGGCTCCGCCACTTCAGGCCCGGGCAGGTACATGCTGATCATGTCCCGGAGGTCTCCGGTTTGGCACGGAGCCCTGGAATGGGAAGAAGACGTGACCACGGGGGGACTGGAGCTGGACTCCGTCTTGACCACCGATCCCATGGAGCCCAGGCTCATCCCCGGGGTCCCCTGCTGCGAATAGGACATGCTGCTGTAGGTGGGCGAGCCGTTCATGTAAGTCTGAGAGCCCGCCATGGAGTTGTACTGCAAGGCGCTCACGTCGTAGCGGTGCATGGGCTGCATCTGCGCGGCGGCGGCCGCGGCCGCGGCGTTGTGCGCGTTCAGGCCCGGGTGCTGCGGGTATCCCAGCTGCTCCTGCATCATCCCGTAGCCGCCGTTGGTCCAGCCGTTCATGTGCGCGTAGCTGTCCATCCGCTGGTTGACTCCGGCCGCGCCCAGCGTGGCCCCCACGCCGACCCCCGCGCCCATGGAGTTGGAGCCCGGCGCCAGCAACCCGCCCGGCAAAGTGTACTTATCCTTCTTCATCAGCGTCTTGGTTTTCCTCCGGGGTCGGTATTTATAATCCGGGTGTTCCTTCATGTGCAAGGCGCGCAGCCGCTTGGCTTCGTCGATGAAAGGTCTCTTCTCAGCCTCCGAGAGAAGTTTCCACTCGGCCCCGAGGCGCTTGCTGATCTCCGAGTTGTGCATCTTGGGGTTCTCCTGCGCCATCTTCCGCCGCTGGCCCCGGGACCACACCATAAAGGCGTTCATGGGTCTCTTGACCCGATCCGGGCTGTTCTTCTGGTTGTTGGCCCCGGAATTACTGTTGCCCCCCGCGCCTCCCCCCGCTGTCTGCTGGGGGGCGGGAGGCTTCAGTTCGGTTTCCATCATGTTGTACATTCAAACGGCTTTTTTCGGCCGAGGGGGCGCAGCAACGGGCGGCCGGGAGGTTTCGGAATGGTGGTGGGCAAACAAACCAACGCAGCTTCGAGGAACTCCGGCTAGTAAAAAGCACACCGGCGCATAGAGAGAGGGCGAGGGAGAGAGGAATCCGACAATCGCCCCCCCCGAAAAAAAAATAAAAGGAAGGGGCTGTAGGTGGGACAAAAGCGAAGAGGAAAGGCAGCCGACAGGAGCTCGAGAGTGTCCCAACCTGGACTTGTCTTCTCTGGGAGGGGGGAGGGAGGGGAGAGCTCCCCCTCCAAACAGATCCTCCCCCGATCGGATCAACACCGGGATCTTCCTCCCTCTGCAAGCAGCCCACGGACGACTATTCAAGCAGGAGAAGCATAACAAAGAAGGCTTGGAGAGTCTTGATTGAGAAACTTCTTCCTGGTCCGTTTCCCCTCCTTTCTTTCTTGTGATTCTTTCCTTCTTTTCTCTCTCTCTCTCTCTTTCTGTATCTCTGTAAGACTAAAAGAGCCAGCAAAAGTCCCTTTCCCCCCTTTTTTGTTGTTGTTGTTTTTGTGTGTGTGTGTGTGTTTTTCCCCTCCTAAACACTCACTCTCACACTCTCTCCCTCTGTCTTTCTCTCTCTCTCTCTGCCTTGACAACTCCTGATACTTTTTTGAACAAGTTAATAGACAACCATCCATGTGATGGGGGGCTTGTCAGGGAATAAATGCGTTTGCCCCGGCCAATCAGCGCCCGCCGGCTCCTCCACTGAGCACAAGCCTCGACTTGGAGTTTTGCATGAAAGGGGGCGGGGCTTTCCGCGCGCCAGCCGGGACAGCTCGGCTTGGGGAAGCGGGAAGAGAGAGAGAGAGAGAGAGAGAGAGAGAGAGAGAGGAGGAGGAGGAGGAGGAGGAGGCGGGTCTTCGAGGCAGCCACTGAAAGGGCCCCTTGGAGCTCCTCTTACAAGCAACAGGTCACACACGCCTTGAGGAGGAAGTGTGTAAACAGCATTCTTGCGACATTAAAAACAAAACAACAAAAAGCCCCACTCCGCAACAACTTGATGTTGACTTGAGACTGAGTGAGGAAGGTTGCAACTCCCCCCTCTTTATTTTCATTTTTTGCGTGACAGATGGAGGGTGGGGAGAGAAGGAAAGGCAGCAACCCTGCTTCTGAAGGCTCCTTCTTAGGATTTTAGCAGGACGAGGGATCTGTTAGTTTGGCTTCCTTTCCCAATTGCTCAGCACCCCCAAAACAATGCCTCTACGACCAGCGCAGGCTGCTAACCTGCACGAAGCGCAGGGAGCCCACAAATAGCCCCCACTGCTTTTGTAAGGACCTCGTTTGCTGCCCAAGACTGCTGACCGCCCCTCCTGCAAAATAAGGCCCCTGCGCTAGGCCTAGACGCCGCCTGCTCCAACCGACCTGACCCCTTACGTCTTCTCCGCTGAGGTTGCCATCCTTCTGGTGGCTGTGCAACCAAGTTTACTAGAAAATAAGGCCCATGGTGGCACCCGGGGCACTTAGGAGCAGACAAATGGGCAGAACCCAGCCTGGGCAAGAGCAGCAGACCCCTCCTGGTCCTGCTTACGGACAAGGCTGCGATGACCTCCCTGCACGCTCACTTGAGGTCCTCACACCGCAGGCAAGGGGACATATTTCTTAGTAAACTTGTGTATGGCTGGGTTCTTCGGCTATCGCTGCGACCCAGGGCTACTGCGATTTGCCTGGCCTTCGGTGGCTCTTAATTTACACGAGGTTCCCTTGCGCGCATCCGTGTCATTGGCACCCGCGAGATTTACTTCCACAGGCAACGCATTTCGGTTTGGAGGGCTGTTTTTCTTTCTCGATCGACGCCAAGTTCCCTCCAGGCTTGTTGGCCTCTTTCTGCCCCTTCCCCCAATTCCACGCCTGAAAGCAACGCCAAGCTGGGCTCCCGCTCCCGCCCCCCTCAACATCTGATCCTCTCCAATATTCCTCTGGTGGCTGCTTTGCCGCAGACATTTCTACGCGAAATAAAGGAGTGCTGCCTGTCTGCCTGTCTTTCTCTCCCCTTACCCCGCACTCCTCTACTCCCTCAAAAGTCTAAAGGCGAGATTGGGTGAAAAGCCCAGAAACCCTCCTAAAAACTGTATCCCCCTCCTTGCGCCGCAATCGCTCCCCACCCTCCCCGCAGCCTTCTTCTCCACGGTTACAAAGCGTGGCCTTCCTCCTTCCCCTCCCTTGCCAGCCTCGCGAAGCAGGTGCGTAGGGACGAGAGGAAGTGGGGAAGGGACGGGGCAGGAGGGAGAGCCACGGGCGCGCGCGCAGGAGGTGCTGGAGGGAAGCTTTTCGACCGGGGCCCGCGGGGGAGTGGGAGTGGGTGGGGGGAGAGAGAGGTGAGATGAGATCCCCCCCCCCGGGCCACGGCGAGGTGGCGACCCAGCTGTTACAAATAGGTAGCTCTTCTTTCCCCCCTGTCACGATGCTCAACAAAGCGTCACCTAAGTTTACTTCGAAGCTCTCATTAGGATCTTTGGGGCTAAAACGCACTTGAATACAAAGAAACGCACGCGCGCACCCCTCCCCCGCGCACCATTTCAGCTTTATAAAGTGCTTAAACATAGTTGCGGGGGCTCGCTCTCCCCTCTCCCCCCAGCGCCGCTTTAACCCCTGAAACTGAATAAGAAAAAAATGTAGAGATCCGTTTTGTTGGAAACTCCGGCAAATAGATGATTTTCTCCCCCACCTTCTCCTACTCGACATTGCTTTCACGCTTTTTCTGCATGCACGTGAAGGACCCTTTTCAGACCACCTTCAGAAAATACAGCAAGCTACATCTAACTTAGAAAGAAAAGGCCCGACACACATACACGAAATAAAACGGGTTTTCCCGCTAGCCCCGATTTTTCTTTTTTAAGTTTGTTGAAAAACTTCAAAGGGATGCCACGGAAGGAAGGAGCGTGGGGAGGGGGCTGGGTGGGGAATGGCTTCCCTAACATGAACTATATTTTTATTTCTTCTTTGGGACTTGGAGAGAGACTGCACAAACTGAGAAAGTCTTGATAACATTTTAAAACTCTTAATCGGGTCAGTTTAAAAAAAAAAGCTGAGAAGTGATTTTGAAACACAAAAGGAAAGGAGAAGCGTCTGGAAGGACGCCTGGACTTTTAGCGCTGGGGGTTTAACGCATGGGGTTGGTGCGCCCCCTACTGGTCAATTCGCCTTTCCCCCTTTAAAACACACACACACACTCTGGCTCTCTCTCTCATACACACTTATTTTCCCTATAAACCAAATACTTCTCAACAAGGCTTGAAATAATAAAGCATGTAGCTGGGCAATGGGAGTGTCATCGCTACTCTACTTCGTTAGGCTTATGAATATTAGTTTGTTTATTTGTATATTTCCTTACTGAGACTTACAAATTAGGAATAGAAGCCTGCGCCTGCAATCCTCAGACCGCTAGCTTTCACATAGCCTCCTTGATTTTATTCATTGCAATCGTAGTAAATAATATCCAACCGTGGCCCTTACATTTTCCCGCATGTGGAAGAAAACAGACAGTTAACGCTGAGCTCCTCTCCCACCGACTCTCCGCCCCACACATATATGGAGCACGCCTAGTTGTCCAGGCACCATATTTAACTTTGTTGTTGTTTATAATTTAGCCTAAATAGTTGATAACGTCCTTAAAAAAAAATCTTATGGATAATTAAGTTCGAAGAAAAGGGGTGGGTGTGGGAGGCTGTGATTTTGTCTCTGTTAATACAATGATAACTGATGGCTGGTGAGGTATTTTTTTTAAAAGGGGGGGCAGCACACACATCTTACTGTACATGGAGGGAGTCTCCTAGCGGCTGGGAGTGATCCCCCCCCCCAATCCACACACACACACAAACGCATAACTAGATGCTTTTTATTGGCACTGAACTCTATAATAACACAGTTAAGAGGTTAAAGTGGCTGGTTTCGCTCTTTGTTAATTGCATTTATCATCTAAATAAGGTATGGAGCTACCTAACAATTGCGTTATCACGAGTATTTACCGCTTTATTTTAATTAGCCGTGTTTTCCTTATCAGTGCAATGAACTGTCTCTGGCATATATACATAATAATGCGCTATAGAAAAATAAGATAAAAGCGATAGCGCATTGCACGCCCCCCCCCACCCGCGCCCAATCTTCACTTTTCCTTTTTCAGACCTAGGTATCCACGTATATGTGTCGAGAGATCCTGGCTTCCCTCTTAAACAATATTTGTGCACACATAGGTAAAGATAAACTGAGATAGCGATAGAGTCACCCACGGTTTTATCTTCTGCTTCAGACTAACAGCACCTCATTCATTTCCCCCCTCCGCCAATGGTAGGATACAGACATTCTCTGAAGAGAGGCCTGGAGAGCGACGTTTTAATCTGAATGGATTTAAAATTCGTTGCCTTTGGTATAATTTATGGAAATGAAATAAACAGCCCCCTCCCAATGTTTCACAGCGACAGAGTGTTAAGGCGGGGGGAGAGTTACTGTTATGAGCTTATTAAGAAGAGGTGTTGAATGTTTTAATGCCTCGGATTTGTATTTACTTTCTTTCTGATCTAAACTACCACTTAAGTCAGCAAAGGCTGGCATATCCCGACGTGTGTGTGTGTTCGGCTGCAGGGGGGGGGGGTATATATTTTTATTAGTACGATTATTGGTTTGTCTTTGCTCAGTCTTAACTTACCAAGTTATCTTGTCTTCAGGAGATGGAAAGATTACGGCCCCCTGTTTTATTTTATTTTATTTGGTCCTGAGCTGCAAATAGAGGTTTAACTTGCAGCAATTAGGCGGGAGCTAGCCGAGCATCTTACTATTATGATGCTCGTTAAAAACCCTTCTTTTCTACATCTGCATTTGAGTGTGTTCTCCTGTACTCTTAATCTTCTTATGGAAATGAAGGCGAGCGGCAGGGAACCAGCGGAGACTTAGAGAATGTCCTTGTTAGGATGGAATTTCTCAGCATTGTTAATTAGCAGAGTTTGACGACCACCAGTATTGGGGTGGGGTGGGGGTGGGGGCTCTGTTTAACCACTCACAGACCCTTTGGCTAGGAAGGACCGAGTTCTTTTCTTTATTTAATGTTGTAATTTGAAGGGGGAGGGGACTCTGAAAAGAGCCTCCTGTTTGACAGTTAGGGGGTAAGAGAATTTTTATCTCCCTGTGAAATAATTACTGCCTTGATAACTCAATTGTCTGCAAAATGTCAACCTGTGACCTCAAAAGTTTTTATTTTATTGCCCCCAAAGATTTCTTTTTAAATAACAAATGTAACGAGTACACAAATACTCTCCCTGTACTCTTTGACTTGCTTGAATACATTTTTCAAAAACCCTATTTTAACATGGTCCTTTAAAACAAAGTAGTCGCCAACTACTGTAAATTCTAGTTATTTCAAAAAGTCACAAGAAAAATGAGTGTGCTGATGAATTTCGGTGGAGGGAGGGATAAGAAATAGTTCCAGGTCCAATAAATATGTTGGAAAGAAGGGCCCTCCATAGTAGATAGTACATTCAAGAAAGAAATGTTTTGTTTTCACTTTTAAAACTGTATTGACAGTTATATATTAAAACTCATCATTGACTGCCAAAAATTCAGACCACCACTCAAATAATGGAATGTCATGCTGTCTTTGAAAGCTAGACACCTTAAAAGCTAGATAAACAAGAAAATGCATCCCTAG